GACACTTCCTCCTCCTCCTACCCGTGATAAAAATAACAGTACGGTACGGACAATAATATATATACATACACATATGATATTATAAAATTGATGATGCGACCGCGGATGACTGTGTACAGAGATCGAAACGCGCATTTGCAGGGGTGAAAATGAAGATTTTGCGCGTTCATCCCGCTGTCTTTCGCTCTTTGCCGCGGCCGGATTTACCGATACAATACGCGTCCGTAATGTATAACAATACGCGGATCGGCGTCTCTACGGCACGTTGTCGGTACATCGCATATCCGGTACGAAAACCGCAAATCGTTAGCGCGCGGCGCACGCGTGTTAGGCGTTTCGACAAGGCGAAATTCTACGAGCCGTCGTTCGGCACGCGAGCGTTTCAAACGGCACCGTATGATAAAATGCCGCCGTCCGTACAATGTTTTATCGACAATAACAACGCGATACACCAAATCTTTTTAAAACTGTGGGGCCCCCGAGTCAATGCAAAACCGGAAATAAAATTCGCAGTATCGCTACATTTTATCGCTGGTGTTGGTCGATTTGTTTTCAAACGCTTCGCTTGGAGTAATAATCATTCGTCGTTTAGAAGAGCGTAATTTTAACCTAGTAACGGTAATATGTGTACCCGGACAATTAAAATATTCAGGAGCAAGTAAGAATCTTATTTGGTGAAGATAAAACGTTGAAATTTCAATAATATCGATTTAATGAAATTGTAGAAAGAAAGAAAAAACAACAAATCGACGATGATTGTTCCCCCCCCACCACCACCCCCAAACGGTCTTTAGAACGTTTTAATAGAGGGCCGTTTAAAAATCAACTCCCTTGGGCGCCAAATGGCTTGATACGGCTCTGTTATTTGTATCTTTATTGCTGTCATACGTTAAACGGCCGAATGTATTTTCCCGTGTTCGAACGGGTCGTTCAAGTAGCGAGGAAAAAAAAAAACAAAAAAAAAAAAACGAAACGCGCGCGCAAACGAGTAGTTGCAATACTGCGCTATCTGCCCGACTCTTTCCGTGTCCGAACCGCCTCCCGAAACTTCCGCGTCCAGAAGCGTTTTCCGTCTTGGCCAGTTGACGGGTCCCGCGCGACAGGAATCGGTTGCTCGACAATCACGACTCGTAATTTATTCCGGAGTAACATTTTTATTTCCCTTCTAATTCAGCATATTATTTGTTCAGATACGAAAATAAAACGACCGCTCCGCACTCCATTTATTGCAGCGTATCGTAATATAGGTACTGCCGGGGCAGCAGATAAACATCGCGCGCATAATAACGTACTATGTACGTTTTAACACGACGAAAGACCGTGTGTTTTTTTTTTCCATCCATATTCTCTTTGAACGTCTCGTAAAAATTACGGAAAAAAAAAAAAAACCTTCGCCGTGTCGTTGACGGGCCCGCCGTAAAATAATATATGCGATATTAAAAGGAAGAAACATATTATATACGAATTTCGAGATAAAAAAAAAAAAAAAAAAATACTAAAATTAACCGAACAAATTACCGAACGAATTTACAACGTTTCTCCCCCCCCCTTCTCCGTCCCGCCGTCGTCGTTGTTCAGAATCCACGCGTTATTATTATAGTACTTTACTAAAATACGGTGACGGGCGTCGGTTCGCGGAGAGTCTGCGAACCCGCCAGCGTGCGCGTGTTTTTTTTTTTTTCCGTGTAGAACTTTCGTCGTAGGATAGCGGGTACGCGAGTTAGAAAATAGAAAAAAAAACCCGAACAAAATACGCATGTGTCACAATATTAAATACTGCAGGTCGTACGTACACGCCGAAAGCGAACCGGAGGACGTTTTTTCCCGGGGAAACAATGCCGTTCTTGATGGTCTACATAAAACAAGCCCGCAGTTAATGAAAAAAAAAAAAAAAAAAAAAAAAAAAAAAACAAAAAAAAAAAAAAAAAAAAAAAAAAAAAATGTAATCGTGTCGATCTGGATT